AGGGTACACAGTGCCTCGCTGTCTTAGCATGTGAATGGGTTGTGGCTTTCACTTCTCTCTCTCTTTCTTACTTAGATGCAACCCCCCAACTGGCACTTTTTGATTCATTCACATTTAGACCCCGAATGGGGCTTTTGCCTTTTGGATTCAATTCATAATGAAGACAAAAACTCCTCTAGGATTATTATTTCACCCCCTCTCTCTATATATATATATATATATATATATATATTCTCTTTCGTCTTTTCCACCCCTTTTTCTAGTTTTCTTCTATCTTTATAACTTTGATTCAAACATTCAATATTGGGACACATATCACCTTCACCATCTAATCTAATTTTTAGTTACTATTACCGACCCCTCCTTTTTATTTTTTGTTTTTTTGGCTTTTTAGGGCAGTGGGTCGAAACTTACTTCCCTATTCTTACTTGATAAAAAGGAGCCCAAAGATAGAGTGGAAAATACACACATTTAGAAGAGAAAAGAAAACTTAGGGGAAAGGAAAAAAAGAAAAATGAATGTGTTTGGTTCATCAGAATGTAGTAGTGGGTGTGAGTCTGGTTGGACTCTTTACTTAGAACAGTCTTTTTTATCTGCAAATCCTTCACATAAAGATAGAAAGAGTGGGTTTTGTAGTGATGAACATCATCATAGAGGTAAAGAGGTTGATGTTGTTGTTGAAGAAGATGAAGAAGAAGAAGATCTTTCCATGGTTTCTGATGCATCTTCAGGGCCTCCAGTACATTTCTATGAAGATAGTAGTAATTATAATAATAATAATCATGATTTTGGTTATTTCAATGATCAATATACTTCTGCATCAAAAGGAGCTGCTGCATTGATGAATAAAAATGGTGGTAAAATCAGACACAGAAACAAGGAACATCGACGTCGTCGATGCAGGGAAGAAGATGAACAACTTCCTTCTTTTCTTGATGATACTGCCAGCTCTCCTCTCATCAAGGTAATTTATATAAGTTTGATTAATTACTTATCAGAATTCATTCTTTAATATTAGTGTATTGATTAAGGTTAATTTCTTGACTACTTTTTCAGAATAATTTTGGTATTGCCAATAATCAAGCTTCAATGGAGAGTGTCTATCATTATCCTCAGGGGTTCTCTGCAACACAGTACTTTCAGGTACTTGCTTATGCTATATATGCCTAATCTTAATTTCAAGTTAATTCCATTTTTTTTTCCTTTAACATTAATTTTGTATCCATGTTTTCCCAATTGTTGAATTGAAACATGTTTTATGTTTGAATTATTGCAGGGAGGATCTGCATTTCAAGGCCACTTTGGGTTTTTGCAGTCTGCTCCATCTGGAGACCAGATACAAAATAACCAGTTAAGCAACTTTCAATTTATTAGCATTCATTTTGCTCATTTATTTCTTCATTTTTGTTTGAAATATCAACTCATTGGAAGTTTCAAATTTGGCAGGTGGTTTTAAAGGAGCAAAAATGAAAGGAGTAGAGAAGAGATAAGGTGGGTTCTAAATATCAGCCCTGCTTCAATTGCTGCTGCCATTGGTACTAGTTCTAAAAATGAAATGGAAAGAAGGGTTTTTTTCATTTCTTTTCCAAAGTTAAGAAAAACAAAAAGCAGAATCAGATCTCAAAGGAGATCTTGTTTTCCTTTTATTTTTCATTTCTTTTCCAAAGTTTCCTTGTACCAGCACCAAATGCAATGGGAAACAACCTGAGAAATCAGCATAAGTTTAGAAATAAATTTTCTTTTTTATTTTAATTTTCCTGTCAAGGAACAGTGGGTACAAATTACAAAACCAACTGAGCCCCTCCGTATGTAATTTATGTTCATCATCAGTCTTTGGTTTTTCTCGATGGAGCCCCATGCTTGATGCTTCTTCTCCCTCTCTCTCCATACTTGCAAATTTCATCACTTAACTCAGTTCATTAAAAGTATAATATGAAAATATAAGCTTTATTGCTTCCTAATGTTTTGACATTCCTTCACAGTCTTGTCCCCATCAACCCTAGTTAAGTTCTCTCATGAAGTCAAAAAAAAAAATTAATCTGTTAATAAATTGTATGCAACTAAAAATTCCTACTAATCTTTAGAAAATGGGGGAAAATTCAAGCCATGATATTATATATAAAAAAGGATAAGGGATGAAGAAAACAAAGGCATTGTCGGCTGTTGCATGCATGTGCAAGGGAGGATCATTTATAGATTTGGTTTAGTAATGGTTTCTTGTTTGGTAAAATTTGAACCTAAAACAGAGACTATATTTATTAACTTAAGTACCAAGGTACAATATAGCTTTTATTTAATTTATATTTATATTTTTTGTTCCCTTCCCTGCAAGTGAATGACAGAATTAATGGTTTTTGTTTAATCTGTTAACACTATTCTTTTCAACAAAACAGGACAAAATTGTAGTGTCATCCACCTAACTTTGGTAGCTACTCAGAATGATAGAACATGAATGAAATGAAATCAAATAAAAGATGAGAGATTCTGAGATTTTGATTAGGTGGGGATTTCCACAAAACTTGTAGCTCTTTCCAAATTCCTCCATGTGTAAGTAAGAAGTTGAATCAAATCATGGAAAAGAAAGCTTAATCATCAATAAAGACAAGAACCCCATGTCTCTAAGTTTGGAGACAGGGCTCCATTTCCCACCCTGGAATTAGTAATTCCATTTCTAAGGCCTAAATATGCAGAGATGAGACAAAGTGATGGAAAGTGTAATGGGGTAACTTAATGGGCATTGATATCAAAATTCATCAAAAGGAAAAGAAATTGCCAAAGCTTAAAATGTTTGGAATATTTCATATATAAGGCCATAACCCTTTTTCTCAAGCCCCGGGAAGATCCTGCCTGTGATCTTCCTGACCCAAAGGAACATGCCCCATTATCTTATTTGGAAGCCTCTAAGTTTCAAAAATACTTTTTTTCTTCTTATAATAATTAATTAATACTAATAATAATAATTTATTAATGCCGCTTTGCTCCCTCCAACCTTGTCTGCTTTGCAGCTGTCATTGAAGTTGATGTCATGCACAATTATATGTCTCTTCCATATGATTTCTTTATATAAAAATTTGGGTTTCTGTTGAAAATGTTGAAAAGGGATAAAGGAAAAAAAAGATAGGCACTTGGGGAATTTAGGATGTCAAAAGTTCTGATCTAAAACTTCTATACCCACATGTGCAATTTTCATATATTTTAATGCTCTCATCAGTACTGTGGGAGTACTTCTCAATGTAGTCAAAAAATTACAAACATAAAATGAATATAATAAACAAGAATTGCACAAGGCTAAAAAGACAAATCAACCTAACAAAAAACTTTTATTTTATAATAAAAAAGAGAGTGTTTGCCTCGTTGCATTCCATTTCCAATTCCAATTTTTTCCATTTGGATAAGGATCTAAGAAAGTATGGGGAAAACATCTATTGTTGTTCCAACCACCTCCAAAACAAAACCTTCAATCCTTGCATGTATAAATATATATGCAATGGGGAATGCAGCTTTCATTTCTTCATAATTATGTAAAAAATTAAAAATTGTTGTGTTTCTGTGTCTCCATTGCTGCTTTAACAAGGCTTGTTTCTGTTTTCCATGACAACCCTCTGCTTGTCTCTTATCTGCCAATGCCATGCAACTGCTGCATGTGTTGTAAATCAGTGAGCATCATCACTCTTTCTCCCATATATCTCTACAATAATGCACTATTCTATATATATAAATTTATTTCCAGTTTGCAAATCTTATTCAGGGGCATTAAAATCTTGGTTTTGGCTGCACATGATTTCCTGCAATGAATATTAAAAAAAAAAAAAGTGAATATAATGAACTATGTTCCGTACATGAAAAGAAATTGTAATTTGGAAAGGATAGCGTATGTGTTTGACTTGGCTACATTTAATTCTTGGTGTAGTACTGTCTTAAAACTTGACATCAAGAAACTTCATTTATATTGGCTATATATTGAAGATATGCTAGAAATTTTGAAGCATCGAACAACACAATAAAATCTCTGCAAATTAAAACAAGTCAATCTGATAGCCAAAAGCACCCACACAAAGGTGATGAAGGGGTCGTCGATGGAGTCAAAGAGAAGCAAAAGAACATTATATTAATTAAGGTTGCAATAATAATAATGTTATATTATTTTTTAAAGCATAAATCCCATAATCATAGGAACTATAGAGGACAGGGTATGTGTGGAAACACTGGGAACACATACCATCACCACATGCCACCCACTTTTTTAACTATTTTAATTTCAAGTAGAAATGCCGAAACATTACTTTGAAAAATTAGCAAATTTACCAAAGTAATTATCATGTATATATCATATGCTGTAAAATCTAATTACTTTTTGTTAAATAATACTTTATGAGTGTGATTAAAGTGGAATAGAAATCGAATTGTTACAATTATCGTCCAATAATCTTATGATCAACCTATATGAACAGAGCTTGAATGCAACATTGGGTTGCAATTATGTTTTCGAAATTTAATCTGCCATGCAATATGCATGAGAAAAAGATGCAGGGGAAAGCACAAAAACTTAGGGTTGGCAGTAATTGCAATTGATAGAAGGAACTATTTTCAGAATTTGGTGAGGTGGATGGTGACAAGGAAAAGGGTGAATGATGTCAAGAACAGTAAAACACGTTTATTATGTTGTGGTACTTTTTGGTGTAGGACACAACTGAATCAGTATAAATATGTGTACATATGGAGATTGCAGTGTGATGCTGAAGTGATGACAAAGAGATATGGGTTGATTGTCGTCTTGTTTGATTCTTATGGAAACAATATATATATATATATATTTAAATTGATCCTCAATTTGTTCATAGACCCCCCCACCCCCAAAAAAATCAAAATCTTTTTTTGTCATACATACATGCAGTAGTTAACCAAGTTTTGTCAAGGGTCTCTCTGGACGTACGCCTCAATATTGAATCACAGACAAAATTGAAGTTAAATAGTAAATCATGGACACCTATATCAAATCATCCGCTGTAGCACATTGGTAATTCCCTTGATTAGTTGATATTGGAATCCAGGTTCAAATCCTGGCAGCGGAATTTTTATTTTTTTTTTGTACTTTTTATTTGGAAAATTAAATTGCTTTTTTTCATTATGAAATTGAAGCCTACAACCCCATATAATGAAAAGCCCATTGGGCTTCAAATTTTCACCTAATAATTATACAGCTGGAATTTGGGAATTTGGAAACTCTATGCCCACTTTAATAGTTTGTTAGTGGCCTAAACTCTAATCCCGTTTTTGTATTTTGTCAGTTGGGTTATAAGGCCCATGTTTGTGGTTGGTTAAGTAGTTTGACATTTGTAGTTGTTCCTCTTAAGCAAGGTCTCCGGTTCGAGTTTTTGTGAATGAAGAAAATCATTGTTGGGAGAGTTTTACCCCCTACCCCAGCTGGAAGGTTTTGATTCAAAAGATAACAAAATAAGACAACCGGCTCGAACAAGGTTAACTTGTAAATATAAAAAAAAAAAAAATATAGTGAAAACATAGGTTTTGATTCAAAAGATAACAAAATAATACATTGATTTTCAATGGTTACAAATTACAATGAAAGAGTCTTGTTTTTAACAATTTTCTCCATGACCGCAGAATCAGAAAAAGCAGACACAATCGCCACAACAATATATTCCTTAGGGAGGCATGTTTGATTTTGTTAAAGCCATATGTTTTCAAAAGTGCCTTCATTAAAAATGTCGACTTTATCTTCATCATTGTCTGCAGATGCTGATGCAATCAACATAGCCAAAAGAATTGCCATGACAAAAACAAGCTTCTTCAACTTGAAGTACTCCATTTCTCTTTAGAAAATTATTGCTTGTGTTTAGAAAAAAGACAGAAAAATTAAAAATCTATTCCATTTGCATTTTGCCTACACCTTGACCTTCCTTTCAAAAATATACATAAATTACAGTAAGCGTTTAGACTTTAGAGTGATTGATTACAAAGCTTTTCGCCTTATTTGTTAGCTTTAAGCCAATCAAGAATACCCTTCTCTGATTCCGTTAACTGCTCCTCGCTCTTCCCTTTTATAGTCCCTTCCACGAATTCAAAGTAATCTTTGTAGTTTCTCTTGTAATAATTCTCCATTCTCTGTTTAATTTTATTAACAAAATACTTACTTAAAATAATCAATAAACAATGAACAAAACAAGCCAAAAATATATACTACAAAGTATGAAAATCCCACCTCTTTGTCATTCTTGGCTTTGTTTTCCTCTGATTTCTTCAGGTACTCTGTTAAAGTTTTACACTACTTTTATTAATTCCTTCAAAAACATTCCAAATTCACTTGAAAAAGCCCCCAAAAAAAAAAAACAAAAGAGTAGTGTAGTGCATACTTTTGAGAAGCTCGGTTCCGGAATCGGAAAGTTGAGGAGCGGCGGCGACGGCGGATAAAATGAGAGCTCTTCTTCCGTGTCGGAGGTCAGAATGGGAATGGGAATGGGGTGTTGCGGCAGATTCAACTTGTTTAAGCGAAGTGGATTTGGGGTGAGGAGGAGGAGGTGGGGATTTGGCTTGTTTTCTATGAACAGCGTGGACGTTTGAAGAAGCAAATTGGTTGACTGTTACAGTCAGTGCCATCAATACGCTTTGCCCTATTGAACTCATTCTTCTTCTTCTTCTTCTTAACAATCATTAACCCATTACTCTATTCTTACTTGCAACTTTGGAACAAGGCAAAGCCAAAGCCAGCCACAGGTTTCTTTAAACATGCAGATAGATAATGCTGAGGTTTCTTTCTTATGGCCCATTTTATCTACAAGCTCGGTCTCGGTTCAAATTTACATTTTTCTCCTTTTGTTATTATTAGATGGCCAAAATCCAAATACCCAATATAGACCTAAAATTTTTTTCAGAATTTTTGATTGAACAAATTTACATTTTTCTCCTTTTTTAACCATCACATTCACACCAACACCTTATGAAAAAATGGAGTAAAAATGGAAAACAGAGAAGAAGTTTGGCCTGCAAATATTGCAGCCGCAGATATACATGTATTAGTGTTACAAAATGTTAATGGCATTCAGCAGATTTATACAGGTCACCATGTGTCGGTACAAAGCAAAACGCTTAACCAAATCTCGATAAGTTTACATAATAGATCTTTGCCTTTATGTTATTAACCAAGCTTTAAGAGGATATACAGTTTGGTCTTAACTATTCTAACAAGCCCTTGTACTTACACCATGCAATGGCAATCACATATAGGAATATCGTCCCAGTGGTACCGCCTCCAATTGTCCATAGGAATTCTGACATTCCAGCATCAAATAGCTCGATGTGGATATTCATGCCGAAGATACCAGCGACGACAATGAAGGCACTGATAACAAGGGTTGCTGTTGTCAGCATGACACCCATCTGCAGGAGATGGTTCTGTTTATCATCCAACATAATGTTAATGTAGTCTTCTGTGTCGTCGACATATTCCCTCAGCTTCAAAGACAAAGGAACAAAAATTTTACCAAAAAGAATAAAGAAAAAAAGAATGTCACCAACCTCTGTCTTAAGAGTAGCGACTGAAACAATAAGGTAGCCATACTGCTCTTGAAGGCTTAAATTATAGCATATAATTTTGCTTAAAATAGGATCTAAAAGATGCTAATAAAATGTCCTAAAGAGTTCTTACAGTATTTGTGAAGTCGAAATTCTTTTCCAGATAAAATATGACAAGTGGAAGTTTCTTGATGATACAATATGAGCTCGTTTAGACATTTCCACTTTTTATTTATCAAAAAAGAAAGATTCTTAGACAGCTATATTAGAAGTAATCAGTACATCCCTTACATTATTGCATCATCTCTTTCCTAAGAAAAGTTTATAAATCATATATCAATATCATCCACATCAATTGAATTAACGAGTACATACACTAAACTTAGCTAGGATTCTATAATCAATGCCTTAAAGCTCTGTCAGCTGATTATATCAAGAGCCCTAAGGATGAGAACCATGTCCAGACTCCAGATTATTAGCTGATTATAAAGGAGACAGTAACCAAAGGGAAATGCAACAGACATACCGTGGATAGCTTGTTCAGTGTACCATCAATTTGTACAAAATATGCCTCCAAGAGCATTTCTAACTCTTCCACATCAAATTGCTTGCTGATAGCACTGTGAGTGGCACTTGTACGAGTTCCATGGCTGTCTCTGCCAATTGCATTAGGAGCACTAAACAAATTGTCAGAGTCTTGGAGATCACCTTCATCATTGCCACCCAAGGCCATTTCAGCAGGTGTCCTGACATAACAAAGAGACAAATCTAAGATGCAAAAAAATTGCAAATCAAATGGACTGAAAAAGAGGGATATTTAATTTAATTGAGTTGTGAAACTGTTCAGTGCCTGTCATTAATGTCTGGTCGAAGAACACCTTCATCCATATCATCTCCCTCATTCATAGATGAGGTTGATGAGTTTTCAAGAAGTTGTTTCTCTGTTAAATACATCTCAGCCATATCATCATCATCATCTAGCAAGTGTTCCAGTTCATCCCTTACCTGAAGATGAGAGATTATGTACTAACTATCAATTAAAAATAGAAGATAATTAAAGAAACAAAAGATGTATATCAGGAAGAAGAACATTGTTGAACAGTTGATGTAATCTAAATTCAAAGTTTGCAACTACTGGTAACATCATTATAGACTTTAGGTCATAAAGCTGACATCAAAACTAATGAAAACATGCATGGTTCCAGAGCTTAAAATACTCAACCTTTTGAACACGCCCAGTTATTGCAACCAATCGACTTTTAATTTGACGGACACGCTCTAAATTGAGAGTACTAATCTTTGAGGTCAATTTATCTAAGGCTGGATGAGCCTCTTGCTCCAATGTCCTTGCCTGCTTTGGCAATAGAAAACAATTAACACAATAACATTACAGTGAAAAAAGTTCAAGGGCAAGAACCACCAGAGAAAAAGAACACTCACTTCATTATCTAAGCAGCTGCAAGCAGCTTCAAGGCATGCCTCCAAAGCAACAAACTCAAATGGGAGAATCTTTGATCCATCCGGGTTCTCAAGACCCTGTTTCTCTTCAGCTTCTTCATTTTGATTATGAGGCTGTGAAGACATTGGTAATATATGTTGGGAACTAGTTCGAATTATGCAGTTGGTATCATCAATAGCGCCCTCCTAAAGAAGAAAACAGAAAAAAGACTCGGCCAATGAAATCATAATATTTCCTCGCTGAAATTAGTTAATAATCATTGACTATTAGAAAGCAGACCAAGAACCCTAAATCGAAAACCCATAAAACAAAATCCAGTATACAAAAATAAATCAAGAATAAAAAGGAACCTGGGCTTTGGTGGCTTGATAATGACACAAAATCCGGCTCTGAAGCTCATCAACGAAAGGCGTTACAGAGGGATCCTTAGAATTCAAGAGCAAAACCTCCTGGGAAGTGATAATTGCCTTGATGTGTTCTAAATTGATAACGATTGCCCTTTCTCGACCCAGAATCGTGGAGGGGTACGACAGAAGCGGGTCGAGGATCCGAAGATCTCGAGCTGGTAAACCCGTTCGTCTCATGATAGCATGCTTTCCGGCCTCCACCACTTGGGTCTGGCTCGTGGAATCCAATAACAGCCATGCTCGAACACCGGTTCCTTTTTTCCGATGAGCAGCGACGGGGAGAGGCTGATTGGGGATTGGAGTGGGCCGAGGTGTTAGGTCCGGATCGTCTTCGAGTCTAGACGGTGGCGGTGGAGGTTGAGTTCTCATCGCATTTATTTTTGGTGAAGTTTTCGGTATCGGAAGTTCGTTGTCTACATAATACCGTTTACAATTATTCTCGTATAATTTTGGCGCAACTTTTTTAGTAATTCACCTTTCTCCCTTTTCCTATTTCTTTTTTTTTAATTGTTTTTATTTTCTTGTCCAATCATAGTAAGGATAGATAGATATTTATTTGATACATTGATGATATTGGTAATTAAACCTATTATTAATTTTATAAGCAAAGCTTTCATTGAGTGTCACATGACATTAGATTTTTTTTGAAAAGTGTCAATAGTTAATTTTTTAATGT